CTGCGCCTCCGGAGCCCAAGACAGCAAGAGGACATCTACGCACGAAGACTACCATTCCTACACCACGACCAGTTGAAGTTGCACCAGCTCGACAAAGCATGCCTCCCGTGTCTACCGACGCCCCGGCTGCGTTCAACTGGAGTTCTCCCACTACTACAGTAGACCCTTGGAAGCAGGACAGTCCCGGTTTACCGCCTATAATCCCGCCTGTCGCGCCTAAGCATAATGCTGTCGAAATTACACAAGCGAATGAGCTTCGTGCAGTTTCAATTGACCTGACACGCGATGTTGGGGAAACACATGGGCAAACGCCGAGTGAAACGCCGGTTGTCGCAACGAAAGCAATCCCACCTCCTGAGCCAACCACGACCTCTTCAAGTCCTTGGGGAGGCATTACTGCTCTCGACACCAACACTTCCAATCAGGAACAACGTACGGATGTGCCTGCAGAAGATGACGATGATTGGGGTGAGATGATATCAAGCCCTACAGTGTCCACTTTCCCCTCAGCCTTTTCAAGCTCCATACCAGCGACGCTCGACAGTACGGTGTCGAATTCAGCATCACCACCCAAGACTCCACCGACCCAGGACCGCTCAGCCGAAGCGATGCATATCGTGCGCCTGCGAAGTACCATATCGCCAACATCAGCGATCTTTGGTCCGAAGAGCTTTGTTCCGTTCCACGCTGAACAAGGACCTATTGGACCTGGACTTTTGAAACCCGCCAAGCGCTCTGTTTCTGCCACGTCAGAGAAAAGCAAGGTCGAAATTCCACCAAACCCGATTTCTGAAGTCATTCCACAGGCCGAAGTGAAAGCTGATGTATTGCCGGCGCGCGATGCGCTTGACACAAACGAAATCGCTATCAACGAGGTGAAGGTCGAAGAGCCGAGTACGAACGGCACGGAAGATGACGACTTTACTGTGTTTACGTCCAACACACATGAGCCGGAACCTGCCAGGCCTAGCACTCCGCCTCCAGCACCCATAGCACGAGATGAACCCACCATAGATGCTTGGGCGGACGCCGATTTCTCTTTCTTCGAATCTGCTCCTGCCGCAAAAGCGTCTGCGCCAGCCACGCGCGATCCATCAGATCCCTTTTCCGTCTTTGAGACTCCTCCAAGACCGACCAGTGCTGCGTCTTCGGCAAAGACGTTTACGCGGTCTCCTCCGCGGAATGTAACTCCCCCACCTATTCAGCCGCTTACTGGGGCTACGAATTCTGCGCAACGACGGAAAAACGACGAAGAACAGGTTATCAAGAGTATTCTGGCTGGGCTACCAGACTTGAGTTATATGTTGCGTAGATGATGTATCGTTGTTTAGATGGTTGTATACATGCTGTCTCTTGCATTTCACATGGCGTTTTCGGGTGCTTGGATATCCATGGTCGTTGTTAGCATTACTGGCATATGTCACCCGGTTCCGTGGCAAGAGCGTTCCTCCGTATACGTCCAATCTTCACATCATTACTATCACTTAGAGGTGCATACATACACGACATCGTCTCGGTTGTCCTTACTTTCACATCATCTTTTCATTCGTTGCACACTCCCGTTCACCTCTTTTTCGAGCACTTCACTCTAGTCATGAATCGCCGTTCTCATAGTCGCCATCGCCGGACGGCCACTCCCCTCAGCCCATAGGATTAGAAGTTTATATTCCATCGGCATACCCTCTCTCGATTTACTTCTTCCCACCGACGCCTCGTCGAACTAAACCACACCCTCCTCAACTTGAGCATTGTTTAGACAGGCAACGTCAACCACTCCTACCCTCGACTCTACTCAACAAAGCTCTTACCAAAAGATAGCAAAACGCAATGGGTTGGCTTTCTTCAAAAATACATGGACATCCACAGCATTACCACGTTCGCAGTCAGAGTACCGGCGAACGCCATACAGTCACCGTGTCTGCCGACACCTCCCCTGCGTCTGTACGGTCGACGTATGAAGCTGAACACTGGAGAACTCGTGAAACAAGCTACGGAAGCGGCTCAAGGCATGATACTGATGACTTTCGATCCCCAAATCGACCCATGCTGCGAGATGGTTTGATACCCATCGATGGCTCACGCTACGAACCCATTGAGACTCATCCAGGAAGAATGTACTACCCACCCAATCTACACGGTCCCCATTACACCATCCCCCCATTCCGCCAACCAGTCTCCTCTCCACCTCCCCGCCACGTCTCCTTCGCCCCCGACCCTCGAAGAGACCCTCCCCCCAGCTACCCACCTCATCCTCCCCACTTCACCCGCCGAAACGGCCCAGGCCACTCCCGCAGCAGAAGTGCACCCGTGAACCCTTTCGAGGGCTCACACCACAGTGAGAATGTTTCGAACAGGCTCGCCCAACTTCCTCAGTATGCCCAACAACACCCTCGGTTTGAGGAGGCGAAGTATGCTATGCAGATGATATGGAGGTATCCAAGGGATGATCCTAGGGCGGTGCCGTGGCAGATGGTGCTTAGGGAGATTACGGAGGATATGGAAAGGGTGGGGTTGGATGGTTTGGCTGTGAGGGGGGAGGTAAGGAGGTAAGGGGGTTTTGGGAAGGTAGGCGTGGGGTATGTGGATGGGGGTTGTGGGAAGGCTGCGGCGTTGGCAGGGGTTTGGGAGATGCCTGATGTTGCTTGCTATTTGCTTTTCGCGCTTATAGAGGTGTGACCTTTCTATTATATCACCGCAAACTGCTTGTTGATAAACCGCCTCAGCTATGTCTAAGAGCTGCTCTCGGATCCTGACCTCTCATCTTCGACACGAAACATCAATCATCAACACGAAAATGAGTTCAGCGGCTCGATTCAACGACCGCCCGCCCTATGTACCCCCGAGAGCCCCAGGCCATGTCATACTCGCAGTCGTCCCGGTACAGTTCGTGGTCGCTTGTGATACCATCCTGAGAGCAGCACGAGAAGCGATCATGAATAATACGAACAAAAACCACTTCGAAAAGAACCCAAGCGAATGTACGCTTTATGATTCTTACTCCTTAACTCAACAGATCCTCCAAAACGACTACACTTGGCCTCTGGTCGTTGATCGCGACGCACCCCTGGCCACGAACATACACAAGATAGAGGCGGAGGCGCGCATGTGGCTAGACAACTCCCCGCTCTTCCTCCAGCATCGCAGCAATCTGGAGCTTTACCTCAAAGCCCCGATCACCTTCAAACCGAGACGCTATATCGTGGATAATGGTGGTCTTTTACAAATGAGGGAAGTGAGAATTGCGCTTCGACAGCAGGTACCTGAGGTTTATTTGGACTGCTCGCTTTCGGTCGAGGGCTTGTGCTCTGAGGAACATGGGAAAGCGCATCGAGAGTATTTGACTATGCTGGCTTGGGTCGAGAAGGCGCCACGGGAGCGTATGTATATCAGTGCACCGCATTTGGACGTCCCTTCTCCACCTGATCCCTTCGAGTATAATCCGCCGGGATATAGATGGTGAAGCTTGCAAATAGATTGGTTCTAGTTGATCAAAGGAGATCTTAGCTTGATCGAGAGTAATGTCAATGTCACGATGCTCAACACTCTTGCCCAAATCATGTGTCATCACATTTCGTCTATTCCTTTCTGTCGCTATCGAGAACCAGTGTCATAAAAACTCTTCAGTGGTGTGCGATTTAAATTTCCGCCTTGTCAGTGGACTAATGAAACTGCTCATCTTCTCGTTAGCCTTCACTGACTATCAGTTCAGGACCGTGCGGGGTTAAACGTTCGTATGCTCTAGCGGCACTCACGTAAGTCAGTCTCCATATATAAACTACAGAATCCTGATACTTTCGTTCTACCTCGTCACGTTCGTGCAACAATGGCCTCGCTCAACTATACACCATCGCTCCCCACCACGGCCGCGTCCGCAGAGAAGATGGTGAAGTTCGCCCTCTTCCCCATCGAGACTCTTACCTCCTGCATTTACATCCTCGCTAAAGTCTATACCATCATCTCTAACAGCACATCTTCAATTGGCATTTCCTCGATCTCAGATGTTAGCGAGATGTTAGCGCATTACATCAAAGCGAAAGAGCTAGTGGACTCCAAGGACACTGTCTGGCCGCTCATTGTCAAAGAGCAATCGCACATTTACAACAACATCACCGGGATTATAAAGACTGCAATCGAGTGCCTTGTTGGCTCCTTCTTCGGATCGTTCGTGGAGGAATGCGAGAGGCTCACGATATACCTGAAACCTCAGCGAAGCTTTTTCGCCAGCGGATTGGCCACACATCGAGATGGTACCGTCCTGAAAAGGGATCTCATCGTTTTGGAGCAGCGCAGGGTTATGGACGCCTACAAGAATGACCCCAATCGACCGGAGTGCTTCTGGCTTCCAGATCACCACAAGCAGGAAGATTTCGAGGACTTCCTGATGACATTGGCCTGGGCTAGAGAGAAGCCTCTCAGGCGTATGTTCACTGAGGAGTTCAAGGGCGTCTACTTGGAGCACGAACCAGAAGTCCAGGACGAGCCCGCCTCCGACTATGTTAGTCTGACCGGTAAGTAGACGTTCTTCTGGTCCTTCAAGCTCATGTTTAACACCGTACTAGACACCGAGTCCGTTGTCGACACGCTCACTCCGTCGACCACTCGCACCACCTCGCCAGCTCCCACCGAGCGCCTATAGGACAAGTGGTGGGATAAGAAGTAGTTGTGGATCAATCCATACCTACCTAGGTAGTAGTTGTAGTGAACCTTAGGTACATCATGGGAGGGCGCTGCCAAATCTAAGATGCTTACATCTCGATCAATTGCCTCTCTATTGTTCTTAACCGATACGTGATGTTTTTCTGGCTGCTGCCTTCCCCGTTAGTGTTCACTGCCAAGCAAAGCGTTCTAGGACCGTGCGGGCTGCGACAGTCATTTGTTTGCTCCAGTGGGGCACTAGTTTGATTGCACAAAACACCACGACTTCCTCAGCTCAGGACTTTGTACGCTCACTTTCCCTTCGATAGTCGGTCCCAACTTTGATCTCGCCCTTACCCGCCATCATGGACGCGACTTCCCCAGAGATGATTGACTTCGTCATCGTTCCAATCGAGACTATGGTGGCTTGCAACTTCATTCTCTATTGTGTTGCTCAATCGATTCAAGATATCCAGGTCCCTGGAGTTACTGACGACACCGAAACATTCCACAATGTCGGCTCCGCTTTGATCAACGACATAGCGTCCTGGCCATTGATCGTAAAAGAACACTCGCGATGCCACACGACTATCAAGCAAGTATACGAGGCTGCATCAAACTGGCTGTCGCGCTCTCCCTTGTTCGACGACACACGCAATGAACTTGCACTGTACTTGGAGCTGCCAACTGGATTCTCCGGGAGCAATTTGAAAATGAGGGACAACGGTGCTATCCTCAACAGAGGAACCATCCTTCTTAAGCAGCCTACCAGGGACTACTACAAAAGTATCAACAGCCAGCACTGTTTCCTGTCCAGTCCCGAGACCAACAAGCGGAATTACCGCGCCTTCTTAACTCAGTTGATGTGGGCGCGGGACGACCCCCTTGCGCGAATGTTCAAATCGGACTTCAAGGGTGAGTTCCAAGACCATCAGAAAGTTACCAACATTGGGGAACTGTCGCACCAGCTCGAGAGCCTGAGCGTTGCTGGTATGTGTATCATCTCTTCTGCTATGTCTCAAGCTAACAACATTCAGACGGCGCGTCTACTGTCGCTATGGATACACCCTCAACTACTCGCGCTCCTTCACCAGCCCTCACCGAACGTCAGGATAACCCCACTGCTGACCGCGCCACCGAGAGCAAACCCGTCGAGCCGCCGACCCTCAAATACATTGCCGTCATCGAGACTGCCAACGACAAGGCTATTTTCAATCTCGACATCACACAAGTCGATAGTAAGCAGCACAAGATCCTTGTTAATGCGAGGGACATGTGCAATGAGATGGCTTCCAAGGGCTATGATGGCAACATGAAGCTACAGGATGTCATGGACATGGCTGTGCAGATGGCGACGAAGTGGGAAATGCGAGGGAAGAAGACGGCAAAACCCTCACATTGAGAGATGGCTGACCAATGACTTTGATGCGCTGCATCTAGTCGTCATCACTGTACTACCTTCCATGTCATAATAGAAGAATACCAAACATCAACTAGAAAACTTCGTTTGTTGGACAGATTTGTGGACTTGTCGCTATGATAGAAAACCAGAACAATGAGTTAGGTAGCCAAGCCATCGCCCCAGAACGTTCAGGCGCTCAAGTCCATCGCATCCCCAGCAGCGGCCTTCCTAGACCCTAAGCGCGCATCCAACTTCCTGATCGTGCTCTGCCTCATCTCCTTCGAAGGCCAACCCTCACTCGGCACCCTAACCTTCCTATCTCCCCTCAACTGCACCGGCACAGGGATGTTCTCTCCAGTCTTACTATCCCCATACCCGTACATGACAAAGTCCAGATAGTACAGTTGCACATCCAGTCCCCTCCTGATACTCTCAGCGATGACAAGATCCAAAGCATGCGGCATCCTCTTGCCATCTTCATTCCAGCCCTCCAGACTCAGTAGACCCCACTGGTCTTCCAATACGCTATGGTCTTCTACGTCTTCGAGCCAGGGATGCGCTTCGAAGTCGAGATCATCCATGAGGTATGTCGCAACGACCATCGCACTGGTTGTGTCGTAGTTGAACTTCATCTTACCACTGAGCGCCTCCCACAGCGGAGTCAAGCTCTTCTGAGCGAGCAACATGGGGCCTAACTGACAGACGCCGTTGCCAAGGATGGGGTCGGAGAAGCGCATGTCGAGTTTCATGAAGAAGAGCTGGATGTTGATGAGATCGGCGTCGGTCCAGATATCGAGATCCTCAAGGAAGGAGCGACGCGTCCTCGATTCTTTGAGCTCCATGACGCACCAGTACTTCATCAGCGCGCCCTCGCAGGCTTCCGGTACGCGATGTCCTTCCAGAGCCATGTATGTAAGGATGCTTCGTACGACCTTCTGGCGGTAGACTATCATGCCGACCCAGCGAAAGCCCGGTACGTCGCGCGCTAGCCACTCGCGGCCGTCCATGGGTCGGAGCATGGGATCGGAGATGCATGTACGGGGGTACAACACCCAGCTGAAGATGTGGCCTGCGAGCGGCGCATGATAGCGGGCGTAGTCGTGGATCAGGGAGACGCTGTATAGATTCAGGCGGTAGTGAAACTCCTTGTCGATGGCGTAGAGGTCGACGATGGAGGGGTAGGGTAGGCGGAGCGCAAACTGGAAGAAGAGGTTCGGGTGTCGGATAATGGCCTTGTAGACACTGAAAAGCTGCTTCGGGGCAGGTCCACCGGTAGAAGTTTGGGGTATAGGCGTGGAGGGTATGTCCGGGCCCCAGATCTCGGCAGCGATATTGTGACGGCGGTGTTGGCGGCGGCGGACGACGTTAGGTGCATTACTCTCGGTTGTGGAGGAATCGTGAAGTTTGGCAGTAGTTGGAGAACCATCTTCGACTGCTCGTTTGTTTTTCCCTTTCGCGTTCGCGTTGAGATAGAGCGGGCTTGGTGGAGGCTCCATGATTGTCGTAAAGCTTGACCTCGCGACCTAGTATCACCTAGGTGAGACCAAGGCGCGCTCAAGTAAATATGCGAAAATCAGTTCGAAGATGTACTCTCATCCAATTCAGGGTGACCGCGTGCGTAATTTAGGGTTTTCGCGCACAATAGTTGCTGTCAAGACGGTGGAGAGGCAAACAATAAGGCTTTCAGGTCGTCGTGCGAACAAAACAGCGGGACGCCCAGGCAACCAACTACACAGCAAATTCAGAGCATCTGAGATGAGAGTAGGACTAGGCGACTGCCCGGAGTTTTCCGGAGACTGTACATTAAAATATGCGATACTCGTTGCAGACGCGTGGATCAAAGAAAATTTGCGTGAACGGAGATGGCAGCTCCATCATCCGCATGAGTCTCAACCCTACTGAATGAACATGAAATATACGAAATAGAAAGGAGCAGAGCTGTATTCTATACCGTGGCAGTGAAACCCGACACATGCACTCATCATTGCTGTAGGCACGCGATGCTCCAGGCTCTTCCTCTCAGACGCGCTTCTTATAAGTAACGGCGTGTTCACACGTTCGATTTCTCATCGAACGCGCGAGATTGCTTCGACAGGGTCGGTGGTGGCCATCTGGGGGTGTTGAAGGCGTATGTGAAGGCGTGGATGGGTGAGTGGACGACGCGTCAACGTCATTGGCCCGTGCGCTGCAACCCCCGCCTCGGCCCCTCGTCGTCGTCCCTGCATAATCTGATAATTTAGTTCGCCGTGGGAAAATCGCGTTCTTCACGCATCACAACAAATTCTCCGATTAACGACTTCGTATCACAGTAGCCAAACACGGCTACCTTCCATCGCCTGCAGTACGTGTTTGCTCTCGGCCGGAAATTCAACGCCTTCCGTCACGCGATTATTGACTTAAGATATCTAGGACAACTTAGGCATCAATATTCTAACAATTGAATCAACCCAAGTAGTACAACCACCGATCATCGCTATAAAGCCGTCTCTTCAGAGTATACGACAGCCTCCGCGATCGCGTACCACGCGCATCATGACATCCAATCTTCTGGCCACGGCGACGTCGGCGCTCCCCAACGAACTCGCTCTCGTCGTAATCGATCATCTCCAAGGCAATAACAAGGCACTATGCGCTCTCGCTCGGACATGTCGCGATATGCAAAACCTCGCAGAAGAGCGACTTTACAAGCGAATCGAGCTTCTATCCGTAAAGAACCTCCACGCCATCATCGAAGCCTTCACATCGCGTCCTGAACGCGTCCGCGCCGTACAAACACTCAAGATCTTGTATTCATACAAAGACGACAGTCTAAAAGACAGCACCGAGATAAGGACGACTTTCAACGAGTGCGTAGCTCGTATGGTCAACCTGAGGGAGTGGCATATTGAGAGCCCGTACGATAACTTTCATTGGGAGAACGATGGTGGACAGGCTTGGGTCAACGGCGATATGCAACGCTTCCGCCGTGCGCTCGACACAGCTTGCGTGGATGGCCCAATAGAGACGGACAAGATCGCGGCTGAGCGGCGCTTGGGAAAGAATCTCGAGCGGACAGTTGGGCTGGGCCTTCTCGAGAACTTGACCATCCACTCACACGGTACTGCTACCGACTTCTGGAACCTTGACGGGTTCCATTGCCTCTTCCGACACCCTGCTCTCAAGCACCTTCACATCTCCTGTGTGGCCTTCCCCGACTCTGAAATCTCAGAACTCGCGACGCATGCGAAGAAGACTCCTCTGACCTCACTTGTTTTTGACGAGTGCGAACTGCGGCCCAAAAGTCTGCTCAGCATCCTTCGCACTCCCGCGCGCCTGAAGTCGTTAACTATGGGCGAGAATGTCTTCAACATCAACCGGTCAAGGCGGGCTAAGCCTTTATTGAACAAAGACGCGGGCGGATCACTGGAGGCTCTCTCCGCAGTTGCGCACTCGCTGGAAAGTCTGACACATCTAAATCCTGGCTGGCGTCTTGACAAAAGCCCTCAGGTGCTCCGCAGCATACGCCCACCTGGTGATGGTATGCGCGATTTCCACCTTCTGAAGTACCTCGAATGCGACACGAATTCTTTCCTCCACCAGGCTATCATCATGAACCGTGATCTAGCGCCCCCTAGCCTGCAAACACTTCGAGTCCGTCGGCATTGGGATGTTCCGGTCGACTTCTGGGATCAGCCGCCTGACTTCGATCACTACGCCGCTCTGCCATCTTTGGACACGCTCGAATTATTGCAATCATCATACATGTGGTAAGTCCTGACAACAAAGATGACGTTGCTTTTAGAATCATACGCTGACTTTGCCCTGCGTGGCTCATAGGCTCGACACGGCAAAATCTGAGTACATCTGCGATGAGGAACGTCTTCGCAATCGCCACGCAAAGGCGTTCAAGCTGCACAAGGCTGGCATCAACCTGAAGATGTCGTTGGAACTACACAAAAGCGAAGGTTTGATACCACCGTACCTGCACAAAGAGCGCGTTCCTATAATCGAATGCTTGTACGATGCAAGCATGGAGGGATTTAAGAGTTTCATCAGGAAAGAAGTGACAGATGAGGACGGAGAGACGACTGATTCGCTTGTCAGAGAAGAAGTCGAAACGGGCCAATTAAGCGAAGTGGATATCAGCCTGTTAAAGTCAAAAACACGACGTCTAACGCTTTCCATGAAGCATAGCCTTGTGAACCGCGGCGGCCGACTCCCATCATTCAGGGAAATATTCGGCTCGGATGATGGAAGCGAAGAATCGGCAGATAGCGATGAGGATTTCGAGGTCGATGACCTTGACGAGGATGACGACATGGCGCTCGATCTTGAGCTCGACGATGATGTCGTTCAGCAGTATATCGATGAAGACGGCAATCCTGTATTTGACGAGGACGGCAACCCTGTGTTCGAGGACGACGGAGAGCTTTTTACAACTGTGTGGGAGGTGGCTACTGAGGACGAGTATGATAGCGATATGGATGAGGACACGGATGAGGATGACGACGACGACGAGATGCACGACGCGTTGGAAACCCAGCAACAGCCCGCCAACACCAGCACCAACGACGACGTTGACTAAGCAGTCTTGGGAGAGTGACAGCTGTTCATGTTCGACTTCGGTAGTCGGTACGCAACTACAATAGTGTACTCTTGTGTATTATTGGCCTTAGAAATAGTTTTAATGATGCATGTGTTATCAAAAGTGTTATCATGATCACCACAGGAGCGCTATGTGCTCATGCAACACATACAGCTTCAGATCACAGTCTCTATGTAGATCCCCTCTCGAAAACGAACGAACGCCGGGTATGTAGAAAAGCATCGCGGAAAAGTTTGCAGCTAATACGCCGCCAAAGAGAAAGTCTGCGATAAACGTCAGTCACTACCTCACTCTCCCTAATCCACCATGAACTTACCTAAACCAAACTCATCACCGCGCACATCCAAGAGTCTGTGACGAACAGTACGCGTTCTCCCTATTCACACGTCAGCATTCAGTTCCTCGACTGTCTAACATCGTTCATCCCCCACATCGCATTCCTTCCCAATCCGGCAAGTATCCCGCCTTCCTCCCCCAAATCTAATTCAAGAACTAAACATACCTCGTCAAATAACTCCCATCCGCCTTCGCCCTCCTCGTCTCTAAGAGTGGCGGCACAAAAGGTAATGCGAGCGCAGAGACTACATAGCTTGTTGCTAAAGTGGCTTTGAGGCGGTAGTGTGGGTCGCGTGGGAGATGGCGGGTGGAGTATGTGCGGAGGTGGGAGAGGGCGTGTGTTGAGATTGCCATTTTGTGTGTCGGTATTTGAAACAAGGCTTTGAGGGATATTCTTTGGATGTTCGGACTGGACGGTTGGTTGTTGGTTCGTAGTGTTGTTGTGGTTGTGATCGTGATTATAGATGCTCGCGTGTGACCAGCCTTGCGGAAGATGATCTCGGAATGTGGGGCCAGGAAGGTTCGGTGGTGTCGGCGCGTGTGGGGTCTTGGTTGTGTCGGTAATTCTGTGCTCTATAGCTTGAACTTGCCCAGGTAATATCCTTCTTTCAAGATGGGTAAAAGGATGTTAGCATGGGGGCGTTGGGGGGTATTAATACGTTCCAAGATGGTTGCCTAGGACGTCTGCCCTGAGGCCATTGAGCAAGGGGTGAACGAACGGTCCTTCGCACTACGGCCGCGGCTGACCTGCACGTGGAGATGAGCGACGTATGACTATGCAGGCGGAGTCGAATGTCACCATTTTTGTGGGTTGCGGTTAGGGCTGGGCTGCCTTGACGCTAGGGAGCGTTTCCGTTGCTTATATGTTGCTTTGAAAGCGTCTCTTGCGAGTTCAGCTTACAAAGGCCCATGAGATGCTGAGAGAATTGGTAAGACAAGCCTAGAAAAACAGTTGAATTTGGTTGCGCAGACTTTCTCTCCATCTTTCTGAGATACCCCTTCAGGCGTGCATGCGCGAGGATGCCTCAGGGTCTGGGCGATCTTCCGGGTCACACCACCCTCGCGCGAGTACGCGCGAGCCGCCGCCTTTTCGCGGTAGAGACTCTTGGCAGGATGCAGAAAGAGTCCTTCTTGGCAACAAACAGCGCATTGGTGAGCAGTTGGTCACGACATCTTTGCTCGCAGTCACGAATCGGCGGTTTTCGCGGAGCAAGGGGTGGAGGTGTCAGCAGGAACGAATCGCCCGTGATTGGTGGATGGGCGTAGCAGGGGCCTTGGGCAACCTCGCTGCAACTTCTCTTTCTGTAACCTCGCAATTGTATCAGCAACACCTTCGATTCTTTCCCCCCGGCAACTGCATTCACAGCTTCTTCTATGCTCGATTTATAAGTCTTGATTAGTCTACTGAGCAAATGACGAACCCCTGCGCCAGGTAGACAGCGAGGATGTCGATATCGCTGACAGTGATCGTCGTTACAGAGCACCTATGTATTATCAGGGAAAAATGATGTATGCTAGGACTCCACACAAGCCGTAACAGTCATGTTTGCGAAGACTCCGAAGCTCAAACTACAGATTTGCATTATCTTCGAGAGAAGCTCTCGGAAGCTATCTCATGAAAGGCTCGGTTCAACACAAAAGCCAGTCAAGGAACTTCAGCTCAAGCGACTTGGAAACAGAAGAAAAAGGCGACAACAGCCCGGGCGCATACGTCCTCAGCTATTCCATCGCCCTACTTTCGCCCTACCACCGCCTTAGTCATTCCGCCTCCCATTACGATCAAAGTTAAAAAACTGGCGTCCACCACCACCTCCTCCACCACCACCAGCACGACGCGAACTACCACCACCACCACCATAAGCCTGCTGAGGAGCATAACGCTGCTGCGGCCTATACCCTTCATCCTCTGAATCCGATTCATCATCGTAGTAGCCCTGCCGACCATAAGGTTGTTGACGACCACCATAGTCAAACATACGGCCTGGACCTCCACCATGACCATACTGTCCACCAGCACGAGGGTCTTCGTATCCGGCTCCATACCGCGGATCTTGAGCACCGCCGCGGGTGTAATCTCGATCGTCCATGTAGCGCTGTTGGCCGTAGGTAGGTTGTTGTGAAGTGCTGGCGGGGCCGGCAGTGCGGGACTGGCGGAAGGGGTTGTCTGCGCGTGAGAGACCGGAGAACATGATGCCGCGACCACTACGAGAAGGGGGTTCTTGACCACCGTCGCGGCCGCCCATGCCGCTCATAGGGCCGCCACCACCACCACGGCTGCCAGCGTAATCGCCAAATGGCTCGTGGTGTTCTTGGTATTGCTGGCCTTCAGGGCGCGAGGAATCGAAAGTCGAAGAGAATGAGTATCCGCCTTGACGCGGATTCCCACCGCCCATAGGACCACCACCGCCGCCACGGCCCATCATAGGAGGGGGGCCACCTCCCATCATGCCTCCCATACCGCCCATGGGGCCGCCGCCGAAGCCACCCATTGGACCGCCAAAGGGGCCGCCTATGCCGCTGAAGAAATCGTCACCGCCTGAGTTGCCGAAAGGATTCATGATGTTGGTTTTTGTAAGGGTGTAGTTGTTGGTTGGGCGTTGAGTTAGTGGGTTGTGGGTGTGGATGAGAAGGGGTTAGGAGGAGGCGGGGTGCATGTGATATAGTCAGCGGGTGGGGGGTGAAAGTGTCTTGTCATGGAGTTTGGCACGGAGAGTGAACATGCGCAAGTTTGCAGTGTGAGCGGATGTTGTTGGTGATGGAATTGACGGGTGTTGACGGGAAGAGAATGGGTAGGGTGAAAGCATATCTTTCGTAGACGTAGACGACACTGCGATCATATGAAGGTCTCGGAGCATAAGACCATGTCAGATTAGTAGGTGCCTATCTGGTCTCGCCATCTTCCACCTCTCTCAAACACCCTGTAAGTCCAATCACCACAGCATCAAAACACATCAAAGATAAAAAAAAAATGGTGAAGCAGTCTTTTATTCACTCTCCATCCTCCTTTACTATATCTCCATATGTAACTAAAAAAGGGTATATACATTGTTAGTGTGGTAAGTAATGTAAAAAACGGACCAGCCTTTATAATTCTCGCGCTTTTTGCAACCAACCTCAATCGGCTATGTACTGTTTCGCTGTGTGTGTTTGTTGTTCTTCATGTTGCGTCAGGCTGAGGCGCTTAGCTGAAGAACTTGAGGGCGCGCCTGAACCTGTTGCCGCCGCGGTTGCCTTGGCCGCCGAAGCCGCCCTGGCCCTGGCCCTGGTTTTGGCGACCGTTGCCTTGACCCTGACCCTGACCTTGACCGTTCTGACCTTGGCCTTGGTTCTGCTGGCCCTGGCCCTGGCCCTGGTTCTGTCCTTGACCCTGACCCTGCTGACCCTGGCCTTGGTTGCCGTTGTTCTGGTTACCGCCGTTATTGCCACCGTTGTTGCCGTTGCCAGCGTTGGGAGCTTGAGTGGCGTCAGGAATAAGAGCTGAGAGAAACGTTAGCATGAACTCCATGAAGGTAAAGACGTGACGGATGAGAAAGCAACGCACCGGAAATGGCACTGGCACCCTCATTGCCACCCGCAGCACCAGCAGCCTGGTTCGCCGCGATAGCAGCAGGAAGATCCTTCTTGTTTTGCAGAATTTGTGCAGAGATACCCTCAAGTGTCTGAGCAGTGTCGACAGCTAGCGGCAGTGAGTATGGATACAGGATAGGGCAGACGCTTTCTGATGATGATAGAAAATGTGGAACTTACCAGAGGCAGCCTCATCGGTGCGACCTTGTCCGTCAGTTTGCTGGACGGCGAAGCATCCACCAAAGGGACCGGCGATAGCGTTGTTGCGGCATCGGATGGTGCAGATGTTTCCAGTGGAAGCACCGAGGCAGTTGAAGTTGTCAGGCATCTGGACGTTGATGACAAAGTCCTTCTCCTTGGCCTGGGAGAGACCGAAAGAACCAGGGATGTTGTTGGACACCTTCAGGGGGGTGAAGGTGGTGACGGCGTTGCTAGTCTCGTCCATGTCGCACTCGAACGGACCGGCGCCATCAGCGTTGACTTGGTGGATGGTGACAGCCAGCATGGAGCCGCCAGAAACCTGGGCCATACGACCAGCAGCAAGCTCGTTCTCGGTCTGCTCGCCGATGTCAATGTTACCGGCGATCTCAGTCCTTCCGCAGGCGTTGACGATGTTCTGCTTGATCTCCGAGTCGCGGATGATGGTAGCATCCTGCTGGCAAGGAGAGATGGTAGTGCAGTTGCGAGCAATAGCAGGGTCAACGAGGAAACCTTGACTCTCACCAGAGTCTCCAACGGCGGCCAAGATAGCTGCGTGCGAGTGCACGGTGGTGAAGAGAGCGGCAAGCGCAACGGAAGAGGCAGCGAAGTACATAGTGATTGGAGTTAAAATAAAGTTGGCGCTCAGCGCTGAGAATAGAATAGAATGTGGAGTAAAGAAGGACTAGCGTCGAGCTGTGAAGAAGTGAAGACCGTTGATGGAGATAGATTACCAGCAGTGGAACTGATGGTAATCTATATACCATCCTCCATGACCAGTCGAACCACCACATCGTGAAATCCCTTACTCGACATCCATGGTGGTGTCCACTTGCATGAGACGTGCTTCGGTATAGGTCAAGGGTTTGGTGTATGGTCGTGCTGGCCTAGGCGCCTGAGTAGAGACTTGGCAATGAAAGAGTGGAGTACGGAATACCGCCAAGTGAGGAATAAGCACCCTGGATAGACTTCGCAGGAGCTTGTGGTGCCTCCGTGACGGGAACACCTAGCCTGTCATGGACGTAGAGGCGTTGTGGTGAGGCTGCTCCACAGGCTTCAAACTTCGAGAACCTGGACCAGATCATGCCCTCCGTCACTTAGCGCTCATTGAACCAACAATTCAGCCTCCGTTTTGCCGTAGTACGCTAGCGATGAGGCGTGGGAGGTTTCGACGACCGTAAAGTCAAGTTTCGAATCAGAACGTCGCACGCCACATGCAAACACGACGGCTTGGCACAGTGCCATGCCGTATGTCCGGCTCAATTCCGGAAACTATGCTCGTGCGAAGGAACAGCAGATGGTGAGTGGCGGTCCCATGAAATGCGAAGAGCCTCGGGATGTTGGTGTTTCGAGATCAGGCGCCCGTTAAAGTGGACCTTCCCGTTACATGCCTGTGGGGCCACCCGTTGGAGCAGGAACGCCGCGCTGTCGGCAGATAGGCTCACAGTCTCTCGCGTAGAGTCGCCTGTTGGTCGCTGTCGACAATGCCTAAGCAAAGGGGCTCGATGTCGCGATAGCGCAGACGCAGGAATTGCGCCTGTCATCTCCGCACTCCTGAGGCATCTCTGTCGCGCATCATGCCGGACTTCCGGACTCAACGATGCAGCGAGCAGTGTAGTAAGCGATCGGTTTGTGGAGGCGATGGTTGTGAGCATTGCTTCTTCTTTGTTGGTGTCGCTGCCATCCTCCCGAAGTGTTGCACCTTCTCTTCAAAGCCAGGTTGGCTGCAGCGATGACACTCTTGCAGGGCTCACACTTTCACCATGCAGCAAGTCCACTCTTCCGAGATGGCTTGAAGGTACTCCTGTAACCCTCATCCATCTCGAGATAGCGCATTGTCTGAGGTCATTATTTCTGGAATGAGAGCATCCTTTGTGTTGAGTCTTGTGGCTTCGGAAGCCCTTTCGTCTTACCAAGTGACAGACTCGACGGAGAGAGACTAGAAGGCATAGCCTGTCGCCGCGGATAACAGGTTCCTGCGTGTTAGATAGCAACAACCATTGACAAATTCCATTGCGGGCCTGTCCAGTATCTCTTGGGATGACAAGGTACTCTGAGTATCATGAACAGTAACGCTGTTATTGAGACATGCTGTCAGTAGAAATCAAATGGCGCGTGTCTCGTCATGTCCCGGTTGAAGATAGCGTAAACCACGGTGACATCCTAGGGATATTCTGGGCGGAGCCTGCTTCCACCGTGGCAAGCAGTGAAAAGGTGGTGCAACAGAGTTGGCTGACTTGTACCAGTCGACCGTTCTTCCCCGCGGCGGCGAGTGCTTGTCTAATCGCCGAACAATCGCCGGCAGCCTTACAACAATCAGACCACTTTCATCATCCATCGCTCAGAAAACTTGCGAGCTGTCGCAAAGCCGCCACAAGCTTCCACACACACCAATTCCCTTCTCAGACCGATAATACACAACCCATCATGAACACAGTAAGCTCCACGCGCACTTCCACTTCCTTCATCAGCACTAACAGGCGAACAGGTCAAATCAGTATAGTACGTCACACCTCTCGCAGACACCCACAAGTCCACCCACCCCATACGTGCCAAACCCCAAAACCATCCCACCAAAAGCTCAAATGAACCAACTCTAACACTTCCCACAGCTACGGCTGGGCGACCCTAATAGTAGCAGGCGGCGGCGCCTACTTCTTCGCCAAACGCAGCATAAACGCAGACCGCGCCGCAAAAGCCGAAGCCGACCGCCAAAAACGCATCCGCCTCTACGAGCTCGAGCACGGCTTACAAAACTCCGCTCCGACCACCACACCGCTGAACCCAACCGCGAAACCAGGATCTACACAGGCGGCGCCGCAGAGCGTGACGAGCGAGGTGGGCAGGCTGAGAGCGGAGGGAGGAGGGAATGGGGGTATGGGCGGCGAGGGCAACCCCAGTATGCAGGCGAGTCAGGATCCGGCGCCGACGAGACATGCGCCTGAGAGTGAGGGGCAGAGGGTGGGCGAGAAGAGCAAGTATGAGGCTCCTGAGGTGTATCGGAGTCGGAAGGGAGATCGGTTCTCATGAGTTAGGATAAGAGGATTGACGATACAACGGACGGTTGAATCACACATTAGAGTGAGTCCACGTAGATACGAGGCATCGATGGCGTTATGGCATGGAAGATTCCACTCTTTGTATTATCGTACACCAGCAGGTTGGCGACTCCAATGTCCCAGCTCCAAGCTATGCTAAACTAAATAAATCATTCAAAACGCCCACGCGATATATCAGGGTATAAAGCGATATGTTGCCGTCCCACGTCTCTGTACATCATACGCCATGAGGATTTACTGCGCAAACATGCCGCTCCTGCTGTCTCTCCGCTTCTCATACAACCATTTGCTGTTCAGTCCGACACTCGCTTTGCCAGTAGAGGGCGTAGGAGTGCCCGGTGCCGTCATGCTGCTTGAGCTGTCACCGAACAAGCTACTGCTCATCGAACTGCCACCATAGCTCAACCGCTTCGTCGCAGAAGACCCGCTCATTGATCTCTGGAAGTTTCCTCCATTGTTTGGTGAGAAAGGTGAGCCTGAACCAGACCTTCCAAAGTTTGGCGATCCGGAGCCGAATTCTTGATTACTGAAGCTGTTGCTACGCGGTGTTGATCGCTGGTATCGGGGAGGCGTGACATAGTTCGGCGATGCGAAGGCAGAGCCTGGGGATTGAGGCGCTTGGACGCCAGCCTTCAGGCCCATGGAGGCGCGCTGCGAGGGAGTGAGAGGTATGTCGGCAATCTCATCGGGGTAGTAGCGACGGATGAGAGGGAGGAATGCGATGACGATGTTTGCGGCGAATACGATCCGGACGAGGAGAACGGCCCATGCGCTGTAGGGCACAGCCTTTACGACAGCGTTGATCGGTGTTCTGGTGCATGTTAGCATGATCCACGATGACATTTCGTGAGGAACATACGCAGCGAATTCCAGTAACTTCACCTTCTCAGTAACTCTAGTACCATATACTGAGAGAAACAGGAAGCCTGCATTCAGGACGATGGCCCTGACGTTGCGCTCGTCAAACGTGGTAGCGTACTGGCGGCGCGCAATCTCGTCAAACTTGGGATGCCGCCAGGAACCATTGGGCGTATATGGCTGTTCTGTCTGGGCGGATGGTGTCGCGGCCTTTTGCGGAGTCGCAGGCTGCGCGTATCGGGCTACCGACATGTTGTGTGAAGCTTTTAGCTACTCGCGTTGATTGTTTGTTTGGCCGAAAGGGAGTCGCAAGAGATGGGCTGGCTCGCGTGTCGGACTACACTTTCACTGCTGCTGCTGGGTTAGTAGTTAGTCTCGGATAGCGTCGCGCGGCTACAGGCACATTCTGTCTGCCACAGGGTGCCGCGATGGTGAAGGTCAGAGTGGTTGTACAGCAACCATGTTTTGGCAAGGGCGATCGGAGGACGGACATGCGAGCCGACAGGGGTCCCTTCACTAGCGGACCAATTCACCCCCGCCGTCATCCCGCAGCTGCCAGCCAAACCTCCAACTTCACTTCACTCATGCGACTTCAGCCATGGCGGGAACTCTAGAGCAGCTTGATCAGACCATCGGGGAGGTCCTCGCAGGCTGGAACTTCGTCAGCACCCTCATCGCCTTCACCATCGTCGGCTTCCTGGCCTGGATCATCTATGACAGCGCCGATGCCGACACACACCCGCTGCTGCTCGCCAGACAGGCGGTAGCTTCATACGTGAGGCAGCCGGGAGAGTCTGCGGTCTTCCGCTCCCCCGAAACTCCTCATGGCTGTACGAGCACCCCGAGATATGTTTGCAGACGTTCCAGCTAACATGCAGCAGATCCTCTCCGTACCGGTCTTGCCGTAAGACCTCCGGGCGCTCCCATGTACTCTGCCGGCAAAGATGGAGATCTCCGGGATATCTGGCGACGTGTCACGGGCGAGATCCCTCTCGAGAAGGGCGCAAAGTCTAGCGGCACTGCAAACATCATGACCGTCTTTGGAAAGGAAGGTGTCACCGAGCACAAAGTTGAAGATGTTACCAAGGAGATTGCTATTCTCGGAAAGCATCTCCAAGATCGCGGAGCTAAGAGAGTGGCCATCTACCTCCCCAACAGTCTCGAGTTCCTCTCTGCACTCTTTGCCGGTGCCTTCTTCGACTTCACGCCTATCTTGATCCCATACAATCAACCACACGAGACCCTTGCCGAGCTCCTCCTCCAAACGAAAGCCGATGCCCTCATCGCTGAGGCAGGCTCTGTGCCTCTTGCCGAACTCAGTCAGGGCGTGTCCGGCCTGCGCTCCATCGTCTGGACTGTAGAGAAGACAAGCAGGCACATGGACTGGAGCGAGGTACCCGAAGGCATCGGCGGAAAGATCGATGTTGCCGTTTGGCATGAGCTTGTACAGGAACAGAAGACTACCACTATACCATTACCGTCGAATCCCGGCAAGCCTCGAAACGTTGTCTTCCTCTGGCAAGAAGCCGTTGGAAAGCCAGCAGAGGTTGTCGAATTCACGCAACAGGTACGTAAACCCACAATGTTGACATATGCACGTACTGATAGGAACAGAATCTGACCGCCGCCGTTGGCGCGCTTGTCACGTCCCTTCCTGCCGCCCACCGTCTAAATGCCTCGGATACGTTCCTCCCCGCAGATGCCTTTACACACTCCTACTGTCTGTGCCTGACGCTGGTTGCTCTGTTTTCTCACGCAACAGTCGTCATCCAGTCCGTTGCCGGTCCGGGTGTCGATCTGGAACTGGCTACACGCTCCATCGCCCCTACCGTCACTGTCGTCTCGGCCGAAACAGCTGCGAAGCTTCACAACACCACCAAGACATCCTTAACGGGTGGCCCCCAGAAGTTGGCTCATTACCTCGAGACGCGCATGTTGACTGCTGGCCGCCTACCTACCGACAATCTCCTCACAAAGCTCAATGCGCCCAAGAGGGCGGCTGTCGGCACAACACCTGGAAAACTGCGCTTGGTCTTTGTGTCTGAACGACAAGGCCTGAACACGCCACCACTTAGCTCAGAGGACCTCTCCGATCTACGTATCTTCACCAAAGCGCGTGTCGTATACGCTTTGACCACAGCCAAGGTAGCGGGGGCCGTTGCGCAAACCAACATCTACGACTACCGAAGGGAGACGGCATCGAACAAGCACAGCCACTTCGGTGTGCCCCTCAGTTGCGTGGAGATCAAGTTGAAAGATACACCACATCTTAAGACAACAGACGAGCAGACTGCAGGCGAGCTGGTCGTAACTGGCTCATCGGTTGTGGGTGGTGAGGTCCACCTAGGCGTGAATGCGACCATCAGAGAGGACCATACTTTGGCGTATGTGTAGCTAGCGCATTGAGCAAAACGCGATGAACTTGAACGTACTTGCCTTCACGAAGCTTCTTCCAAATGACCCCCATTCAATCTGCCGCTCGAGGCTCTTGACATGTGTTCAGCTCAATGACACTTCTCGTATGCACGAGATTACGCGACTGACCCATGAATCCAGGCCAGCTTGTGCAGTAGTCGGCAGCGACGTGCATGCGCCCCAAGTACCGAGACACACTGGTTTTCCCCTCCTCCACAAAGCTCGTCAAACGCTTGCACCCTTAGTAGGTACTACGATACACTATATCACTCTCTTCGTATTGATTAGAGCCGTCACATATATGTGTATCTGTGGAGGAGACATCGTACCTATCGCGTCGCGTGGGGATCACCCTCTCTGGGGTAATTTCAGCCGAAGCGCTACCGAGCGGCGCCTTCGCTAAGACCGAACCGACTGGGGTGCTTATCTGCACCTGCACCACCGTCGAATGACAGCCGGCCCCATCTAGCAACGGTCGCATTTCCCAAGGACCGAGACCTTGGGTACAGCCGCTAACCATCATGACAAGCTGTGTGAGTGGTTGTTTGTTGAGCAAAAGGCTGCGAGGAGAGGCTCAAGGCGTTCGTCTAGTCCAGCTGAGTCTCGATCCATGTCTCTAGACGAAGTGTTGACATGGTCGGCTCGTGGCGCTTATCTTATCGTCGCCTTGCCAGAGATATAGACGTAACGTCAATCCTGGGCGCCCGCTGTTCGGAGATCTGCACTGAGACTGTGCGTGCTGCTAGAGGATAAGAAGGCGCTTGTGTCCGTCGCGCGGAGAGATCCTCAAGGATAATTGATCCTCCCATCTTTACAGCCCTTCCACGTTCTTGGTGGCTGGCACGGTAGGCTTCAGGATGCCGTTAATCGAGAAGCCGCATTGGACGCTCAGGGTTGAGCAACCCAAGAGCACGTTTGCGGAAGGCAATGCGCGATGGTAGGTCCGAGTTGGAAACGGAGATGCGCGATGATGAAGATTTTTGTACTGACTGATGGTATACAGGACGAACAAAGATCTTGACCCTGTTCCGAGGCATGGTAGAAAGTGGGGTGTGACGAGCTTCATCTCGTATTGGGTGTCGGATGCATTCAAGTATGTCTTCACCAAACTTTTGACATCAACGAAGTAAGAAATGCTAACATTAACTCAGCGCCGCAACATGGCAATTCGCATCCAGTATCATCGCAATCGGTACACCCCTCCACATTCCACCTCACCCAAGTTGAACCCTCAACTAACACCACCACCAGGCCTCACCTGGCGGGAATCTCTCGGAATAGTCGCCCTAGCATTTTTCATGATCTCCTTCGTCATCGCCCTAAACGGCGCAATCGGCGTTCTGCACCACGTCCCCTTCCCCGTCATCGCGCGCGCCTCCTGGGGTTTCTGGGGCTCCTACATCGCCATCGTCTCGCGCGCCATCCTCGCCATCTTCTGGTTCGCCATCCAAAACATGAACGGCGCGAATTCCGTGCGCGTCATGATCGGCGCCATCTGGCCCTCCTTCCTCACACTGGAAAACGGTATCCCGGAGAGCCAAGGCATAGATACGGCGACCATGATCAGTTTCTTCATCTTCTGGCTGGGTAGTGTGCCGTTTTTGGTTATGCATCCTAATGAGTTGAGGTGGCTGTTTATGGCTAAGAGTATTATTGTGCCGATTGCGTGGATTGCGATTTTGATCTGGGCGTTTGTGAGTACGGATGGGGGAGGTGAGATGTGGAATCAGAAGGCTACGTTGACGGGAAGTGCGTATTCGTGGGGGTTCTTGTCGAGTTTGACGAGTGTTATTGGGAATTATGCTACGTTGTCTGTGAATCAGGTAAGTTCTCTCAGCCCTCCATGGATCCCATTGCGAATTCCGTCTAGAGATCTGAACACATACTAATCGTAACCACAGTCCGACTTCTCCCGCTACTCCCGCGTCTCGGTAAAATGGCAATGCATCTACGTGCCCTTCCTCCCCATAGTCTTCACCTTCATCGCCTTCATCGGCGTAGCCGCCACGTCCGCCGGCGCCGTCAAATACGGCACTCTGGACTGGGACCCCATGGCCCTCATCGCCCACTGGGACAACCGCGCCGCCCGCTTCTTCGCCGCCTTCTCCTTCGCCCTCGCCGCCCTCGGCGTAAACATCTCCGCCAATTCGCTCTCCGCTGCCAACGACCTAACCGCCCTGTTTCCCCGCTACGTCAATATCCGGCGCGGCCAGCTGCTCTGTGCGGTGCTCTGCTGGGCGCTTGTTCCCTGGAAGATTCTTGCGTCGGCGGGTAGTTTCCTGAATTTCATGGCTGCGTATGCGATTTTCCTGGGTCCGATTGCGGCGATCATGGTTGTCGACTTCTGGGTTGTGCATCGTGGGAAGTATGATACGCTGGCGCTGTACCAGTATCACGGTATCTACAAGTACACCGCCGGTTGCAACTGGCGCGCTATTGTCGCTTTTCTTGTTGGCGTTGCACCGAATATGCCGGGGTTCATTCAGTCGATCAATCCGGCTATTGATGCTGGTGTGGGTGCTAGGCCGTATAGCTTTGGGTGGTTGCTGGGTTTCACGGCGACGGCGCTGGTGTATGGATTGTTGGAGATGGTTGTTGCGCCGCCGAGGGAGACTTTCATCGATAGGGCGGTGTATCCGGATGAGATTTATGATGAGGCGGGTGTGGTGGATGAGGGGATTAGTGTGGGGAGTGGAGAGCAAGGGAGCGCGGAGAAGACGGGGTGGAAGGCGAAGATGACGAGGATGTTGTAGTTGGTAGTATGAGTTCTTGGAGATCCAGGCATGGGGAGATTACGTCTGGTTTTGCGCAGACATATATAAGAATTGTGAGATACCTTCTTTGGTCTTCAATACGTCCCTTCTCCAAGCAGATGCAAAGTGAGCGCAATTCGACATGTAAATGTATTTGATGGATTACAATGAGGATGTGTAAAGGGAAAGAGCGTTACTTCGTCTACGAGATTACACTGACACGACCATACACTTCGTGGTATAAGAAGAGTCTCCAGCCAAGACATTCAGAAAACAAACATCTCAAACCCACCTCCCCCATCTTCTCACAACCCCACAACAACACCCACCCCCAACCCCACCATCGCAACCAAACTCCCCATTCCCACCGTTCCCCTCCCTACAGCCGCATTCCCCGCATCCCCAGTATCACTCACACCCCCACTCCCACTCGCAGCATTAACCTGCAACCCATACGCCGTCGTCGTAACCAGGCTCCCACTCACCGTCGTCGTAACAACACTCGTCGCCGTCGTACTAGCCTCACACCCACTCCAGCTAGTCCAGGGCGCAGAACTACTCCAGGGCCCTGCTGTCCAGCCAGGCCAGTCAGAGGGCGGACACGCACTGCCGTCCCACCATGCGGTCCAGGGGCCGGACCGCCAGTCTGAGCGTGTCGACCAGTCGCTGTAGGGACCGAAGTTGGAGGGGCCGAAGGGGCCGGGACCGTCTGGACCTAGGGAGAGGGGGTTAGTAGGGGTTTGGGTGGTTTTAGAAGGAATGGGGGTTTGAAGGAGAGATTGGGATTGGGATGGGCGGTACTTACCTCCCCAGTGTCTCCCCGGTCCTCCTGGGCCATGTGGTCCACCTGGCCCCCAAGGTCCTTGACCCGGTCCGTAACTACCGGTCGGCCAGGGAGCGGCGGTTAGAGTCGATGGGATCTTTCCGGCTGAGAGGAGAGATTCATAGATTGAAGACCATTTCCCTGGGTCGGAGGATGCCCATGGTGGACCGGAGCCATACCATGGATCAGTCGTTGTAGGCGCTGGTGTGATGCTTTGACCGAGGATGGGCGCGATGAGCGCTGTGATGGTTGCGAAGGTGAGCTTCATGGTGGTGGAATTTGCGTCGTGGTATTCGTGTCTGTGTCTGGGGAACCGTTGTTGTTATGTCGTGTAGATGTAATAACAAACAGTATGCAGTGCTTGACTCCGTGCAACAAGACCCAGCCCTGTCAGTTCCGTGTCGTGCCTGTGTATTCTCAACTCCAGAAAAAAACGTTTCCCACACGCGAACACCGCAGCATACAAATACCCTTAGACACGACATACGCGGCCCACTCGTTCATTGGACGCCATCATAGCTTACCTACTACTCCGTCATAGAAACGCGTCCGGAGGGGGCCCGCGAGGCTCAGCTGAGGTTAGTCCACCTTACGCTGGATGGCAAAGAAGCGTAGGATCAGAGATGACAAGCAACAACGCTTACAAGCTTACGCGTCCGCAAGCCTATACACGTACTGTCTCGGCAGCTCTTCCACATTTCCCGAGAAAGCGTCATTGGCATGGTAGTGATGCAGGGTCAGGTTTTCAGCCTTGTGGCATGCCGTAGAGAAGCGTAGTGGAGCGTAGTGGAATTCGCAAACAGGCGATCAAAGCTTGACGATGAACTTGCATTGGTCGAACATGGACACGACAATAGGTGATTGGGTAAGATGGGTATATCGAAGGATGATCTTGTGACTATAAACAGAAAGGGCGGCGTGAGATGTGCTGCAGCGTGCTTTTTCGGAGAATGGAGGTGGGGAGAAAACGCGGAGAAACGTGCTGTGGTATTACCGCGCGTGCATATGTCGGTTGTTGGAATTGCGTGCGTCTTTCGCGTTACCAAAGGTAGAAGCTGAGAGTAGGATCGCTTAACACTATTAGGGAGTTGAGGCCATTGTGTTCGTTGCGCGTTTAGTTTGGCAATGGAGTGTCGCAAGTTGTTGTCGAGTTGGGAGAACTACATCCAAACGTATGATGCAGACCCCACTGTCGATCATCGGCGGAGACGGAGGCGCAAGCACCGACGAAAACGCTCACTCTGACACCACCATCGCTACTCGATTACGCTCGAGTATGACTTGTGTGCGACAGTGTACGCGTCTTTTTGATATTCGATTGAGTAATAAACTGTCTCGTGACGCTGAATAACCTCTAGAGCTGCAAGTCTTCCATGCATGTTGCCTTTGAACCACTGTCTCGTAATGATGCAGGTAGTGTCGCTTTCATTTCACAATAAGACAAGCCTTAAAACTGATGAAGGTCAACGTCGAGTATTTCAGCAGATCAAAAGCCGCAAGTAAAATGAGGCGGACCGCGGATGCGAGGCTACACTGCATAGAGGCATGTTGTCCAATGTCGCATATGGGTTTTAGTACTACCATGTCGTGTGCGCGCATGTCAGGCACGACACGTTAACGACTGTGCCAAGTCCATTGGTACTTCCCCAGACCCTGCGAGCCCTCACTCGTAGTCCGATGCCATCGTATCTCCTCCCTGAGACGCATTCAACGATGCAGTGTACATGGAAAGCATGGTTCATAGTCGTATTGGTATATTCATCGCCAGCGCTCTCTTAGCACCGTCTAATTCACATCGGGTAACCGCACAGCGATGTCGCCTGACTGTGTAATGTATCGTACCCAAGGTAGCGATGGGTATTGCAACTGCGCGCATGTTAGCCATTGCCTATTCGGCTACGATATTTTGTCCTTACCTTTGGCTCGATGATCTTCAGATACCGCACTTGGATACCTGATGTGGTAAAGTACGGAATCTCGAACTTGACGTTGATGGGCCTCTTGGCCTTTCCGCCGCCAACACCACCCATGCTACCACCGAACCCTCCCATCATGCCGCCACCCTTCTCGTCATCACCGCGCACCGATGGCAGACCAAGCTCGGCGCGCATGAGGAACTCCTTGCCACCACCAAATTGCTTGATCTTCCACACTATGGAGGATGTTTCAGGCGCGTAGTGTACAGTGCCGATGTTTGTTCGGAAGCGAGGTGTGTCTGCGTCTTCGGGGACCGGAATCGAGATCTGGACGTTATTGGCGGTGCTTCGTCGCTTAAACTGTGCTCGTGCCTGCGAAATGTTAGCCTATTACACCCAGAATTCCAGAGACCTGCCTACCTTCAGCATGTACTCGATCCTGCTGCCTGAATGGCTCTCGACTATGCACTCTACCCAAATGAGAGGCTTGACTTGTGTGTTCAGGCGGTAGCTCATCAGCTCGAACTCGCCATCTGGTGGAATGAAGCTGATGGTCCTGTCGTTCTCGAATCTCGATAATCGCACGCACTGGTGAAATTTGACATCCTCCATCTCAACGGCCTTTCCTCGTGTAGCCCTTCCAGTGGTCTCGAACATGGCTTTGTCGTTCAATCCCAGTCGCAACTCAGGCATACCCGACAGGTAGCACTTCATCTTGACAGCACCAAGAATCTCAGATCGTAGCACGCTGCCGGTCGCGGAAACGAGGAGGTTGAGCGATTCGATGACGTCGAGGAAGACTTCGTTCTTGCGGTATCGGATACCTTCGCTTCGCCAGCTGACGGCGTTTGTGACTGCGATGGGTGGACGTGCGATTTCGAGCTTGTGCGACTCTTGTGTGATGTATCTGTAGACTTGTTGTTATTATGGAGCCATGGTATAGCTGTATGGAAAGCATACTCCTGCAATATCTTGGTCTCGGTAGTTTGTGGATAGCCAAAGTCCATCATCTCATCTAGCAGTTCGTAGATAACGACAAAGTTGTCTCTTATGCTCTCTTCTTCGAGCTCTTTGAAGTATTCTGTAAAGACTTCGACGATCTTGTGGAGGAACAGGAGAATCTCGGCCGCATTGGTGTTTCGTTTGGTGAGGGCGAGGAGGTAGAGGTTATTGTGGCGGATGTAGAGGTAGTTGATGCCTTCGCTGGAAAAGCATGGTGGGACTGCCGAGCTCTCGTCTTCGGCCTCGCTCAGTAGGATGGGGAATTTCTCGACGGCTGACATGGGGATGTCACCGCGGTAGTTGCGCGCCAGAAGGGTCTATGCGATGGTCAATAGGTAGCCCTTCCAGAGGCCTGACCGCCATACCTTGCCCTTCAGGTCGAGAAAAAACACCGCCGACGCCATGGTGAGGGAATGTGAGTGATTTGAAGAAGAGAAGGAGAAGAATCAGCTATCGGGTCATGGTGCGCAAGGAAAGGGCGATCGAGGGGTATACGTGCTATGTCCTGGTCGCGTCTCGGTGATGCCAGAGTAATTGCGGCTCTTCCCGCGCGCCAAGACTCCTCAACGCACTAGGCCCATACAGTCGCAACGCTGGTACTCATGCCTGGGTTCCTTTAATATTTCGGACATATCATCTTGATTCACGCTTCCTTACAATTCGAAAATTTGCATCCACTGCGCGTCCGTATTTAGCGACTGCGTTACAAACAGCCTTATCTGAGCCACATAACGCCCCCGCGGATTAGCGAATGTGAGGTAACACGATGGCCGTCCCTCAGGCTCAACGTCTGCTTCGTCATCGGATTTCCGCTCCATGCCGTCACAATGCCACTTTGCCATCTTTGCAGCGGTCTGACTTTCAGGAATCTCTATCCCCCGAACATCTATCGCCATGCCAATGATCCGGCCACACTGGAGGCGTCTGCCGCAGGCTGTCGTCTCTGCAAGATGCTGCACGGTTGCATCGATGACGCCAATGAACATGAAAGGCAACCGATATTACATTTTGAAGGCGCCACTGATCATATTGTTCCTTCCCTCAAAGGTCGCAAAGTAAGTTCTGTAAAACTGCAAATTATCCCAGGCAGTTTGTATTCGTGGCAGCCGGAGATCAAGGGCACTTTATATGTGGGTATCTGGTTGAAGTCGAGATGGATGGCAGCTTGTTTGATTCTGTCGGTCGAGGAAGGTACTGAAGCATGCCGTTCTACCCGCTACTGTCTAATCACCTTCTCTAGGTGACGAGTTAGGCTCAGA